CACCAGCACAAGGAGAAAGCTGACTGGAAGGGTCCTCATGTTGAAGCAGATCATCACGCAGTCCTGCTCGACTGAGACTGAGCTTTCCTCTGTCTCTTACAGTAATCCACACTGCTCATATGACACATGAGAGAGAGAGAGAGAGAGAGAGAGAGAGGAGGGCATATTCAAATGACGGGGCAGGAACTGGGGCCAGTGTTACTTCATCACTGTTAAAACAAATGTGTTAAAAAAAACACAATGTGTTATTTTCAATACATAGTGAGTGTGTTCAGGGATAACACATATCGAGTTAAATTCAACACTAAATATGTGTAAAAAATATAACACACAAATTGTGTCACTTTAGTAAACATTAATGTGATATTTTTGGTACGTGTCTTACACAACTGTGTGCTACGGAGCAATCATTTTAAAGTTTTAAAATAAAAGATAATAGTCTGTCAAGAATTTAGATACTCGTATTATGAAATCACACAAAGAGCCACTGAAGTACATACTGTTTGTCAACATGGAAATAACTATAATACTCATTTAGTTCATTTAACCGTTTTATTACAGCATGCTAAATATAAAACTGTTAAACAAAAATATTAAAACATTTAAACAAGCACTTCAATATATTCCTCTTATAAAAACATTTATCAAATACCATAAAACCCATAAAATATATCCGTTAAACACTGTCAAATAGGACGTTGTCTGCATGTTCACAACATGTAAATTACCAACAAGTTCTCAAATTGTTCTCATGTACTCCAACATGTTCTTACAAACAGAAATATACTTATAACAAACATGAAAATATGTGCAAAACATTAAAAATAGCCATCACACACATATTGTTCATGCATTGATCTAATGCATTCTGCTCACCTTAAGACAATTCATCCAATCAAAAACCTTGTCAAAAGACAGACAGACAAAATCTCAATGATAGTTGATACAGATCGAGACGAAGGGCACAATTACGTACTGGGCTCCATGTCCAAGTGAACCAATGGGAACCAGCTGAGCTGACTTCAGGGACCCTTTCATGGACTCACTCAGTAAGGAGGTCACGTACCAGCCTACAAAATGAAAAGTATCAGAAAATGTTTCTGCTTGAGCAAGCACTTTATTTATTAACACATTAACAATGTTGGATTAAATTCTAGTTGAAGTATTCTCCTGCGTCTCCTCGTTCCTCCCAGTGAATCGTGACAATATCTAGTTAATATTTATAATAATATTCAGCTGAAATGTTGTAAGAAAATGTAATGTGACAGGTTGTCAGGTGTGCTGTGGAAAATTATGTATTCAACAACAAAAACTGAGCGCCCATACAGCTACAATAAACTTTGTGACCTGTAAGTTCATGAAAACATAATGCGATGCCCTTTGGCTACTGCCTCAGATGCGGCCGTTAGTGACAGACAAAACACATATTGCCGTCATTCGCTGGTCAAAAAGCTCATAACTTCATTTTAGCTTGATTTTCATAAAATGTTAATAATATAATGGCACATGCAAGTGTCTGATCATATATAAAGCCACAATACCAACTCTGACAACGTGGTGTTTAATTATTCAAAAAAAATATATATATTAATAATAATAATAAATACAACTTTTTTTTGTTTTTTGTTTTTACATTTCCTGAAAGTGGTAGTGGTTTTGAACATAAAAGGTTTCCGCCCAACAGCAATGATATATGTAAATTTGTTTTATCATCACCAACAACATAAAGCTACCTTTGACCTTCTGTTCCTACCTTACTTAAGCTCAAGTTTCACATCAAATGAGAGTACTACTTTTAATATAATATCCAGTTTTAATATGCCATTTGAAGCAATGTATGTTTGTGCAATTTTGCTATACTTCAGTGCTTATCGGTGTGCCGTGGCATTTTTTACTGATCAAAACTGTGCCGTGGCTAAAAAAAAGATTGGGAGACACTGCTATAAACACATGTAATGTCCGTTTCATTCATACTGGATGCCAGAGAGCGCCCTCGCGCAGAAGATCCATTTATGCATCACAGAAGTAATAGAACTGATGATGCTCCAGGAAATCCCTCATATGGACAAAGGCATGCAGATCATAGTGACAGAATAAAAAGATAGAAACGTTTTGAATGATGAAACATTAAGACAATAAACACTCAACTGTGTTCTTCAAGTCATCTCGGGTATTTTCATAATAATTCATAAGTAGAAGCCATTGCTAATCAACATAGCCTTTTTTATAGTGTAGAACATATTTTCTGCCTCATTCTATGATAAGAATTCACATCAGATCGGAAAAGAAAGTTATTTCAAACATTCGACTGATGTAGTGGAGTTAAAACAAGTTATAGTGTTCTCTTTTGTTGGACAGCAGATTTAGAAACGCTTCTCATTACAAAGGCAGATGTTTGGCTTGTGTTGCTTTTTCAAATGCACGTTGTAAGCGGGGAGGAGCCTCCTCATCTCAGTGCGTGAACTCACGGGCACACAAACAGAGCCAGTTCGGAGAGGAAAAAAACACGCAGGAATTATTTAAATGCAAAACCGACAAAAAACAGTAGGTTTTGACTGTTTTAACAAACTCAACCCATTCTTCATACACTTCAAAGTATTAATACAATGATTTAGCAATTCATTCACTGCGTTTACTCCAATCATACAGCCTTAATCAAGCTCAGATCGCTCAGATCAGCTACACATCTTCTTTCTCTCTTCTTCTCCCTCTCAAGCACTCACATTTTTCCATTTCCCAGGGACGGAGGGTCTTAAGACATACAAACCAATGAAAATAAAGACCAACAATGCACCTAAGTTATGGAACTCATACCTGCACCAATGCTGGTTTGTTGGATTGTTTTAATAAACTTCTTAAGACACATCTTTTTAGTAATGTTTTTAACTTTTAATTAATTTATTGCTGCATTTTGATATTAAGTATTTTTGTTTTAATTGGTTATTTTTTTGTATATGCTGAAGCGCTTTGAGTCTGAGAAAGGCGCATTATAAATAAAATGTATTATTATTATTAGTATTATTATATAGACTAACATGAGGCATATTCACTAAACTATAAATGGAATAGTTACACCTTTTTAGCACACTTCCATTTTTAAAGTTCATGTAAGTGTTTATGTGTTTAGTTCTATATATTATAGCATTCTACAGTGTTAATGAATTTAATTAAGTAAAACATACAGTTGTTGCCTACAGGAGATGTGTACTAAGCAATTAGGTAATTATGAGACATTAATTATATTCTTTGGCACCAGTGTTGAACAGTAAATGATGAGAAATATTCTGACTCAAGACACATATCATCTCCAATAATGATAGCCTGTGTTATCAGAGTGCTTGTCTGCTAGCTTTACACATTACTGCATGCTTCATGAGCACAGAACAGGCTGGGCAAGTTAGCACACGCAAAGGGAGCCTACTTTTAGACCATTATTTATATATTTTACCTTAGCAGTCCTTATTTGATCCCCACCAGTGGACATATATGGGACATTAGGAAAAGTACACTGTAAAAAATGTGTGGATTTATATTATGTTACTGGCAATTACAGTAGCTAATGTATTCCTCATTTGTTTACTACTGAATGACAACATTATCTGTGTTTTCATTGCAGTAATGAACTGTGATAGAGTGATGTAGTACTATGCGCTTACGTTCCCAACATTCAATGTGGCATGAATTAATTATGCTGCAGCATTTTCCCCTATTTGCTGGTTTAGTTGCTGTATCACCTGTTTTTGTTATCACTTATAGTTACTTTTCTTGTAATTTTCAGATATTTTTATATCTATATTTTTAATATAACAAATGAAAATTTGATGATTGAGTTGATACGCTTTCTGTAATTTAACATCCATTAACTTAAAAATTATAGCCTATAGAAGTGAAAAAAAATTCAGTTTCAAAGCAGTTTTTTAATCGTTTCTTTATTCAAGCTGCCATAAATATTCTATGTATTTACTAGCAAGACGTTTTATTATGTAAATCCACTTTTTTGAGTCATTCACACCCATTTTTCCACAGAAGGTAAGTAATTTCACAGACAGTATCATGTGATCACGCACAGAAAGTTAACATTTCAGACTATGCATGACTAATGTGGAGAACCCAACAGCACCTGAATGTGTTGAAATAAATGATGCAGTATCGTTGTGGGGAGGAGATGTGCTGTGGTAAAAGGAAGGGTTTCTTCAGAGGAAACCTTTTGTAGTTTTAGGATTTCAGGAAATACAAGTACTGAAATAGTTACTAACCAAAGAACAATGACTCTTATAATAAAGAAGCAGAAATAGATGTTTGGACCCTAAAATAAGAGTGTGTTAAAAATGTAAAAGATTGGATGACCAATAATTTTCTCCTATTAAATTCGGATAAGACAGAGATATTACTTATTGGACCAAAAGACAGTACACAGAATCTCGTGGATTACAATTTGCAACTAGACGGCTATTTGATTCATATAATAGAATTGATAGTGTCATCCTTATACACTGAAACATTGTTTTCATTCATCCCATTAAAAAAAATTAGGGTAATGATTCACATCTATATTTTTGAACTTGAGACAACGAAAAATAAATAACATGACATTATTTATAATAATAACAAACATTTTTTTTCAGTGTATGTAGTGTCTCTAATGATGAATTTAATTCAATAATAGTGGTGGTTACTGAATTTAAAATATATCATCAATCCTTACTTAAAAAACAGTGGGTGAAACAAACACAAACTATTTACAATACAATGAGAAATATGAAAGAAATAGTTGAACACAACATTGTGTGTAATGTAAATGTAATGTGATAAAAATGAATTCCAGCCACTCTTCGTAAAACTTCTCTACAGTGAAAAAAAACCCAGGTGAAGTAAGGCCTTTTGAGTAAAAATGGAAGAGGGATGTAATGATGATCAATGGTGCATTACTGCCACCTGCCAGACTCTCGGATACTTACATTTCATGCTCAGAAGGGAAAGTTCACTCAAAAATGAATATTCAGTCATTATTTACTCACCCTCATGTTATTCAGAAATTGCATGATGTTGTATGATGTCCCTTTCTTCTATGGAATATCCAGTCCAGTCAATGGGTTGTTGGAAGTCAATGGGTTCCAGGGCCTGGTGTCCCAACGTCCTCCAAAGCATTTGTGTGTGTGTGTGTGTGTGTGTAAGTAAAAAACGAGAACAGTGGCTTGTCAGTGCGTCAATGAGAGAAGAAGCTCACTGGTCACTGTGAAGACCACTAGTCCACGCCACCAACTGCCTCTGATCCTTTCAGACAAGCTGGTGGGATGCAGGCACGAGCTTTCATTTTAAACACCCAACATGCTTCCTTACACATCAATCGTGAGCACAAATGCACAGTGTATCCCACAGTTTCTTGAGGGCAGGCAGTCTTGATGTAATGTAAGATGTAAAGTTCACAGCTTTTATCCATAATAATTCTGCGCCTGTACAGGTTTAATGCTGCTTAAATTCCAGCCATGTCTTTGAGCAACAATGGCCTAGAGCACTGTCTCCAAAAAAAACAAATCACAGCACAAAAAAATAAAAATAAAAAAATCCCCGTAACCCCTTTGCAGCAACAAGCATTAATGAAATGTGGAACGATATAAAGCCTCAAATCATCATCCATTTTCACAGCCGGACATTCCTGCGCTCCAGTGACTGTTGACAGATCCCACCCAGAGTGTTGAACTTGGGCCCGAGGTTCTGCAGGAAGTCCAGGTTATCACCGAGGTTGCTAACAGTCAGCTGATCCAGTGACTGGCAGTCACTACCCCTCCCCTCATATTCATACTGATACGAAGAATAAGCTGGAAAGTCCCTCTGCTCTTCCGAAAGCCCACTGATTTTCTATGGAATAACATAATGGAAAGAGAAATATCATAGTCTTAATGCTTATGCTGATACAGTGTGAATGTTTTTTCCTAGCAGCACTATCTGATGATTCCACCTTGTGGTGTCTGCATGGTCTGCAGATCTTTGTACATTAATATTATGTTATGCTATGAGGGATCTGACAGATAGGTGGCGCCAGTGCATTGAATTTTCAACTAAGAACAAACTAAAGCAAGGTCGCCTTTCCACCAATAGTGCCAAAGCAAGTTTTTGTTTTCATATTAAACAAAGCTTTGTTTATTGACATTAACCTTTAAAAGCATATTTAAAGAAAAAGAAAAACTAAGAAGAAAAAAATAAATAAATAAGAAAAAATAAGAAAAAGTTTATAATATAAAATAAGTATATTTTGAAAAACTTTACTTGCAGATAATGTAATATTAATCTAATAAAAGGCTGCTTAGGTGAGAAAGACACTTCCGTGACCACACTTAAGTACACTTTTAAGTTTAAAGTTTAAAAAAGTTTAAAGTACATTTTAAACCATTGTTTCAATAATCTTTTGTCATACTTTAAATAAGTATATACTGTATAAATACATGTTAAATACACTAAAAACATTATTTAATATACATAATATGTATATTTAATATTTAAAAAAAAATCTTAAATTGACATTAACTGCACTTTTGTACAGTATGTTCATGCATATATTTATATAAGTATAAATTATACCTGAAAATTATTATTATTATAATCTCTCTCTCTCTCTCTCTCTCTCTCTTTCTCTCTTTTTTTTTTTCTCTCTTTTTTTTTTCC